CAAGTTCTAGGCAGGGAATGAAGAGTCAGTTTAAATGTCCAAATCAAAGTCCGTTAGAATCAAGCTCTCGATGCTAATTTTTATTTAAAGCAAACTGAGACGTGCTGGTGCATAATGCTAGCACTTCGGAGGTAGAGGCAGGACAATCAGGAGTTCAAGGCTAGCTTGGGCTACATGAGACACTGTCTCAAATAAAAACAACAAAGAAATAAGATCTGTTAAGTGTTGATTATGATGAGTTAAACTGCTAGAGTAGATACACTTCTAGAAAACCTTGAGAGTCACCCACCGTATCTCATGTATTCAAAATTAGTATTTCAACTTCTTTGTGAAAAGAATTAGCTCCAAAAGCACAGTGACTGACCTCAAAATTCCTCATGTCGTTTAGTGGCTTGACATGCATTGGCGCATAGAACTTTTAAAAAATATTTTACTATTTTTTTATTTTATGCGTATGCATGCGGGCATTGCCTGCATGTAGGTAAGTGCACCCATGTCATGCAATGCCCCCAGAGGACAGAAGAGGCCGTAGGATCCCCTGGAACTGGAGTTATGGACAGTTGTTATAAAAAATACGATGTACTAGAAACTATTATCTTGCTTTTATTAACAACTAAACATAATGAAAACCTAAGAATGCTTAATTTATCCATACTAAAATATTATATTGCAAAATCAAAAGATGATGATCTCTTTCTAGAAAATTTTACTGATAAATATTAAAAGAATGTCAGAGGTAGAAGAGCAACATTGTCTGGCATCTAATATTGGAACTGTTTCCACTGATAATCATCTTCTGGTAACATGTATGTTGGGGCTAGGGAGATGGCTCAGCAGTTAAGAGCACCTACTGCTCTTTCAGTGGACAAAATTCAGTTCTCAATACCCATATCACATTTGGCAGTTCACAAGTGCCTGTAACTCTAGCTCTAAGGGATCCAAACACCCTCTTTGGCTTCTGTAGTTACCTACACATACATGCACATACCCACACACTGTCACACATATAAATAAATAAAATCTTAAATAGAAAAAGACGTACAAGGACATCTTTAGGTAAAAGGTTGATGAGGAACAGTATGTTTTCTGAGATGATGACCTTGAAGGGTACCAAACGCATCATTCCTGTTTTACTTTTAGTCAACTAGGGAGGAAAGGCTGCAACTTTCAGTATAGGCTAGCAACACCAGAAGCTACAACTCAATCTCACATCCCCAATATTGGGACAATCACATATTACATGTATTCTTGGGTGTGATGTACTATATTATACTATACATTCCCTATAAAGTATGAGTGCTGAAAAATAAAAGGAATCCACCCTTGGTGTTTAAGTTCCAGTTTACAGGAAATACAGATGTTAGAGGAAAAAACTAAATAATATTTCAAAGAATCGAACAAGTTCTTTAAAAATGTAATTTTTAAAGATTAAAGATGTAATGACATAACTAACTTGGTTATTTGGTTTCAGTAAGTCTACTATAAAAAGACTTAAGGGTGGGGATGTGACTCAGTGGTAAAGCTCTTGCCTAGTATACTCAAGGCCCTGTGTTAAATCCCCAGTAATACATAAATTGAGCATGGTGAAGTACATGTATAATGCTGTACTCATGAGGTATAAGCAGGAAGATCATTAGTCCATTGTCATCATCCCACAACATAGCAAATTTGAGGCCAAGTCTACAAGAGGCCCTGCCTCAAAAAAATAATAAAATAGACGACTCCCAGGCCTCTCTCCAACCCGCAGGCCTTTCTCTCCAGGGTAAGTCGATCATGCGCTCCGTGCCTTAACTCCCCCAGCCTCATTCACCCTCCCATCTCCCTGCAGGTCTCTCCTCCCAGCCTGGATCCTGTGCCATTCCTTGTCTTAGCGCCCCAAACACCTGGGGAACCACCACTGCTTCCTTTGCATCCAGACCAACTAAATTCCTTCTCGGGTCCCCAGAAGCACTCTGGGCCTGGCCCCGCCCTGACCTCCCTCAACGGTCCCCAGGCCTGCACACCCCACCCACCAGCCTCTTTCCTGGATGCCAGGGCTGACCTATCCTCTTTCTGATCCTTTGCATTCAGACCAACAAAGCACCTCAGTGCTGTCCCCAGGGGCCCTTGGGGGGCCTTCCTGCCCCCATCTTCCTTTGCATCTTTGGATGGCACAGCCTCCAGCTGCCCTAGATCAGCACCTTTCCTGGGCCCGGCTCCCAGGCCAGTCCAACCCCCAAATTCCTGAAGCCAAAATGACACACAGGAATTAAAAGTACCAGACTGGTGGAACTAACCTTCTTGGATGTTTAACAGACATACTTTGAAGCCTATAATAATTTGGTCAGAGGGACATAAAGGACAGTTTTTGCTCCTTGCCCTCCTAGGTCGACTAGTTCCAGGGACTATGAGCATCTCTCAAAATGTCCTGTAATTGTGGTGGGTCACCTGTCCTCTTGATCAAGGAGGCCAAGGAGATCCCACCGGATGAACTTGAACCAGTGTCCAGTCTACAAAGAGGAGGGTCAACACAGAGG